AACAATGTATATAATCAGGGGGTCCCCGCTCCATCTCCCCATCAGTTTGGGGGTCCTTGGCCTGGAAAACGTTGAGACCCCTGCCACAGAAGATCGCAGCGGCACCTGCAGCGACTGTTGCAGAGCAACAAACAGGGCTTACGCCGTAGGCGTAGATTATGAATATGAAAATATTAAATAGCTCGAACTGGGAGGTATAGTTAATTAATATGTCATTCAAATCAAGGGTAAAACTAGTTATTTATTATCAGTTGAAGGATTATAACTGTAAATTGCTTACTGACCAGAGTTTTAGCCTCTTACCGAAAATTTAAACTCCTAAATCCGGCTTCCAGGATGAGTGATAAATCGTTCACTGTGTAAAATAAATACAAAAGACCACAGGTTAAAATACAGTGCTACCTTTATTAGCTACAAATTAAACACTACTAAAAATAAGCAAAATTAAAGAAATAAAAGAGGAAGAGGGGTTTAAGGGTTTGTTCAAAGTCCGCGTGATGTTCGAAGTTTAAGGCTTAATGCATTTGAAGGTGTCCTTTTATAGCAGCAGATGAAATGTGAATAAACCCTGACACAGAGATGTTAACTGCAGTCAAAACAGTGAAGTTTCATTCAGTTTATGGTAAAAAAAAAAAAAAACAAACAAAAAAAGAATAATAACTCAGGAATGCATTAAACTTTGATCAGGCTGAACGACCCATTAGCTTTGGAATAACTATGATTATTTTTTTAATTTGTAGAGCTTATTATTAAAAGAACACAAAATGATTTCCAGGCTTTATAATAGCCTTATCGATAATCTAAGGCATACATAACTTTATGTGAAAGCTAAGTAAAAACTAGAACTTACCAAGTGTTGTTACTAAAGTTTTTTCTTTTTTATTACAGAACTCTACAAACTGAATGCACTAGAAAGAATTAAATTGGAAGTTGGCAAATCATTTTTTGCAGACAACTTGTTTCAGGGAATGTCTTAGTTTTGAGGCGCATCATACATCCTCTATGCTTGTTCTGAAATTCAGTCTTTCTGGTCCTCTGTCAATGTTGCAACAGTAAAAGGTCCGTTAATGTAGTTTCCCTAAAGAGTGCACTGATTTTTCTGGAAAATATTGCAAAAGAACTGGGGAGGATCAGTACCTCTTTTAAAACTATTAACTGCAGTATGGAAGGCCATAATGAGTTTCAATACACAGCAATCATACATTTTCTTAGATGGAGAAATTAACCTTTTTAATATGCTTAATATAATTACAATATGCGACAAATGGAGAGAGTGATAGAGCTTAGATAAAGCTGAATCAATGTCCGAATGTTCTAACTAAATAACTGTAATCTCAGATTTTTTTGTTTGTTTCTAGTTTTTAAATTATTAAAACTTGCAACAAAATAAAACAACAAAAAAAGGGAAAAAAGGGTAATTATTTTTTAAATGTAGAGGTTATATCACTGTGTAATAAAATTTTACATTACCATCAATAAATAATAATAAAAAAGTAATTAATTCAGTTAATTCTATCATGCCCCCCCTATAATTACACTGAACTCCTCCAGGGGGCCAGTCCCCCAACTTTGGAAACCTCTGGTTTAACCAATTAATGTTAAATAAATTCATATACATTAAAGTTTATATGTGCATAAACTGTTGGTGGAATTTTCTAGGCTCACCTGTAAAAAACCTGCTAGCCTTTTTGTAACAATAAAACATTTCTTAGGTGTTAGAGTTAAGTGTTAATGATTTATCTTCATCTACATTAAGTTGAAGTCTTGTCTAGTTTTCTTCATGCTAAGCTTGCAATATATTATTTTTCATTTTCTCTCAGAGGCATAAACTATAGTTGTCATTCTTCATCAGGAAAGCTCGACCCGACCAGCTGACGCAGTTTTTGAGCTTCTCTTGTTTGGGAACAATGTTTTGTGACAGGTTGTCGAAGATGACTGCAGGCGATGAACCTCATTGCCAATCACTGAAATGTGCATGACATAAACACACTAACCTAAATCTGGCTCAGCTCTTTAGAAGATGCGGGCACACACACCCGCAGACAAAAAAAATGTTGCTAAGTATAAACAAAACCTTAAACTATTGCCCTAGGTGAGGGATGAGCTAGTGAATGTGTGTGTTTTTTTTTAATTAAAATCTAAATCTGTAAATCTAAAACTATAAGTTGCAGAGATGTTTTCATAATTTCTATTGCTTAAAGTTAAGTGATACATCCTTACTTCCATCCATTTTCTCTTATGCTTACTCCAAGTGGGGTCATGAGGGGTGCTGGTGACTATGTCCAGCTGTCTATGGGCGAGAGGCGGGGTGCACCCTGCAGGTCGCCAGTCTATTGCAGGGCAACAGAGAGACACACAGGATAAACAACCATTCAAGCACACACTCACATCTAATGAGAATTTAGAGAAGCCAATTAACCTTATAGTCATGTTTTGGGCTGTGGGAGGAAGGCGGAGTACCCGGAGGAAACCCACGCATGCACAAGGAGAATATGCAAACTCCATGTAAAAAGGAATCATCTTGCTGCAAGGCAGCAGTGCTACCCACGGCTCCACTGAGCATCCCTAAATGATACATTAACCAAATTACATTAACTAAATATTAACTCCCACAAACATTTAAAAAACTGTGAAATTCTCACCACACCTCATGTCTTTGCCTCCTATCGTTTTGCCCCTTGCACCAAGGAGGACGACAAAAACATGTTTCCTGTGTCCTTTACAGAAGCAAAATGCAATCTCAACCTATTTCCTTCTTCCCTCCAGTTTCTGCAAGTTCCATATTTTCATGAATTATCTGCAGAAATGTATTTGACTGAACTTTTTTATCTACTTTAAGTCTCAAAAACTGTGAGAGTACTAAAAGTGTAGAGTTTGATGTTGACATAATGTTGAATCCCATGACTAATTCATTAATTCAAATATTGTAACCTTCTGTTGTAGAATTACATTCCCACTTTGTATGCTCTGCTTTACCTTGCTTCGACTGTACTTTGCAACATTTACAATGATTTAATCATATTCGATTTTGCCTTTAAAAGTTTTTGCCTACTCTTTCTTTGGGGTGTTTATGTTGTTTTTTTGATATCCCTCTTGCACAACCCAATAGCTCCTATTGCTCCCGGTGTAAACATTATTTTTTAGATGAACGATTTGCAAAGCCTGAAACAATAACAGTAACATTTGCATTCAAGGCTGAGTCGCTGAGGGGGAGGATCAAGCGTAGGAAATAAGATTAGCCAGTCTGCTGTGCTGGCAATTTGAGGATGTATTGTGCATAGTAAACCAGACTGAAAAAAAATCCATATGCATGACCAAGTTTAAATCCCCTAAATTAAGCAGCAATTGAAGGTTGTTGGGAACAAATTCATATTGAAATTCATTTGAATGTCATGCGTTTTGTGTAAATAATACACAACGTCCTTATTCTATATTCTTTGTTTTTACCTGTAATCTGTAGTCATCAGTTATACCATATGGAATATTATGAAAATGTTTCTGAATGTTTTTTTCTTGCAAAATTGTTGTACTCATTTTATCAATAGCTTGTAATAAGGAAACTTCAAAGGTCTTTTTTGTTTTATTTAATTTAATTTAACACATTTATAAAAAAAAAACAAAAAAAAAACATGTTACTTGTGACTGCCTTGTTTCCCGCATTAAGTATGAAGTGATAGAGAAACAAATATGGCTACCAGCTGGAGAACAGTTGGTGAGGCATTTAGGGACCATGTGGATCTGCTCTGCAGAGAGCCGACCTTAATGAGAAATAAAACAATCTTGACATAGTTCATTTAAAAAACCTTGATTGATGCTAGTCAAATGCAAACAACACTAAAAGTCATAGGAAAGTCATATTTAAATGTCAAATCATTCTGGTTTAAACATGTATATAAATGTACTCTTTATCAGACCATATTGTCCCAAAAGTTAGAATATTTGTATTTAAAAAATAAAAAATCTTGTCTTAAAATCAGTTTTTTTTTTCCGCCATCTTATTCAGGCCAGTTAGTTATACGTCAGGTTGTACACCTAAATTTGGCCAATCATATATCAACGGTCTTCTGTCAATGAAATGTTTTCGGTCATAGCATCTTGATTCATATGTCGCGGCTAATATACGCAACGTTTGAAATATGAAATAGGAATAATTTACTTTACCATTGAGTTACGTCCTAGTGTTCACGGGGATGAACGTCTGTGTCTGCGGCAGGCGTAGAGCTAACAGAACTGGCAGCGTTACGAAGCAAGAACTGGTCCCTATGACTTTTAAGGCTTATTAACGACCCACAATGTAGAAGTCATTGAATAAAAATAAACCAAACTGGTCATCTAAATGTAATTACTTAATGACTTTATCAGCATAATCTATAATTTCAAGAACTAACAAAGAATTTGGATTTCTAACTAATATGCATTCAGTCTTCATTCTCTTTGTGTTTTCTATCTATCTATCTATCTATCTATCTATCTATCTATCTATCTATCTATCTATCTATCTATCTATCTATCTATCTATCTATCTATCTATCTATCTATCTATCTATCTATCTATCTATCTATCTATCTATCTATCTATCTATCTATCTATCTATCTATCTATCTATCTATCTATCTATCATCTATCACAGAGGCACAGGAAAAACAACACTGCACATTTACACTGTTTTATTTTTTGGAGTATGGTATAAAGCCAATCTACAGCTAACAACTATGAAACCATGCACAACAAAACTAATAAAGATTAGTAAAATTATGTTTTTTCAAAGTTGAAGCTTCTTTTGAAACCCATTGTGCTTTGTGTTACTCTCTTCTGAAACCACACATTTTTTTTTAAATGTTTTTATTTTGAAGGAGCTAACCGGAAGTGTTGATTAGATGACTCTCAGCTGTCTGACTTTGCCGGAAGTGCTCTTCTTTTCCCGCAGTGACTTTCCATGATTTTTCAAAGCTAAAGGTAGTACCTGTAGATAAGTATTAAGAGTTGAATGTCTGCTCATGTCATTGGCTTTTATTTTAATGCTACTAAATTGCCTTGTCAGTATTTAACGAGTTAAGATTTTAATCCGCAGATGTTTTTACTCGGAGTTTACTCACTTCTGCCTCTTCTGTCAACGTGCTCTGAGTAGGGATCTCATAAAACTCTCATTAGTGAAAAAACAACAGTCACTGTAGCACAGTTAGATAATTTGAGAAGTGCCAGTAAAATCAGTATAACTTAGATGTTAATTTCAGTTCAGTTTATTATCAGAAAGCCCTCGTGCTGATCATTATTTAATGCTGCAGTTTATTCTTTCTGTTTCCTCTGTTTATATGCTTATTTTTAATGCATTTATTTATTTTGCAGAGATGCCAGTGAAGCACGCCCAGCCCAATCTCAGCCAATCTCAGGTTTGTGAGCTCATGAAGAGGCTCTACAATCTGACAGCTGCAGAAATGCGCCCACTGCCCAGCTATGATGACCAGAATCTCTATGTGGCTCCCTGTGAGGGTGGAGAGTTCGTCCTAAAGATCATGAACTCAGAGGACAGTAAGAACACCACCATCATTGAGGTGCAGACCCGTGCAATGTCCTTTCTCCACCAGAATGGACTCCCTGTTCAGACGGCTGTGCCCACCGCCTCAGGACAACTCATGAGTCTGGAAGAAATGGGTATGAAAGAAGCAGACCCCTCTGCTTTTAATACGGCTTCTGTTATAAATAGGCGAATCAGGTCAATGTTTAATGTGAAAACAAAAAAGTAACAAATGTGTTAATTAGTTTTTTTTGTCTCTCTGTGGAGGCCAATAGTTAATTTATTTAATATATGTCTTTCTGGTTATTAAATTGTTGTTAAATTGTTATGTCTCAGGGATTCAGAACCCATTTTGAAATGGAGTTTGAATGATTAGAGTTGATGTTCTGAGCTTGAGCAAGTCTAATCCTTCCAAAACTGATTCCAAAGCTGAGTCAAACGAGAACTGTTCAATAGTTGTTGCCATCTTCCTTGTTGTGCTTTTTCCGGCATCGCACAGCTTTGTCGTCCCGCCCTCAAATCCCTGCCTGCTTTGCATCAAAAAAAATGTAAAACACATCTCTGCATTGTGATTGGTCCGCCAGTTCTAGGGCTTCAGGCATTGATCAACTAGCAGGCAAAAAGGATTTTGTCCGCTGGCAGGTGGGGCTAGTAGTTTACTATGCTAATATATAACAGCTTTTTGATGAAATCACCGACAAGTGTACATGAAAATGAAATCTTAGAACAGAATATGGCACAGTGTCATGATTTTTTAAACTTTATTTAATCAGTAAAGTTGTGTTGAGATTTAAAAACCTTTTTCAATAGCATCCTAGGCCGGAGGTCTTCAACAGGGGGTCCACTGAGTTACTTCATGGGGGTCGCGAAATATTTAGTTGATGAAACTTTTTTTTATATTCCCTCCTGCAATTTTTTCCAATAATTGAAAGGCCTTTAAATCCACATTAACATGAATTCAACACACTGTAGTAAACAGGTAAATGGAGGCAGAAGATGTCTTTCAGTCATCAATGCACACATTCAGCGACACACAGGAGCTCTTTCAAGCTGGGCACCGTTTCATTCACAACACCTGTCTCATCAACCAGGAATCAGAATCAGAAATACTTTAATAATCCCAGGGAGAAATTACTTTTGTTACATTACTACATCTGTAATAGAGTGACTATAGGAGCAGTTTGATTTAACACAGTTTCATACAATATATATAGTTAGGGGGTCCCCGCTCCATCTCGCCATCAGTTTGGGGGTCCTTGACCTGGAAAACGTTGAAGACCCCTGTCCTAGGCCACAGCAAAGAATACATTTGAATGAAAATAAACAAAACACAATGATAATAACATTTTAGAAAAACACTCAAGATACAATTAAAGAAATTGAATTATAATCTAAATAGTCCGTCTCAAGTACCCTCAGTCTGGTCTTAAAAGTGTTCAGTGCAATAAATTCAGTTAATTTCCTTTCAGAATCCATGTAGATTGAGCGAAGTGAATAAAAGCCCCATTTTCCTTATCCTGCTCAGACAAATGAGACTCAGACTAACTAATGATCGGCTGAATACAAAGAGTAAGAGACATTGCGGTGTTATTAAATTACGGATGTAGGACAGAAAGTCCGAGCATGGCTTTAAACTTAAAAATATACCAATATCCCTATCTCCTGGTTGACAAGGAAAGCCATCCGACATGACAAGCTCACCATGAGCCATGAGATGCATGATAAACAGTCCATTTAAGCTGAGGCGGTCATGTACGACAGGTCTCCATAATCTGAAAAAGATAAACGTGTGACTCATGAATTCCCAACCACGTGCAAACTGTGTGCACTCTTCACCTTATCTATTAATGTTGCTGTGTTGACTACTTCATTTGTGAAAAGTTAGCCATGTGTAAAAAATAATTAACTACTGTGATGAGAAGTGTCAACCCCGAATAAAAGTGTCTGAACCACGAACTCTGCTTAAAATGACATGTATGTAGTTTGACATTCAGAAATAATGACTTACTGGATGATTTTATGGAACTAATCCAATGCAGCATGGGATAGAGTTTAGTAGCTGCAGTATCAATATTATCATCCAAGGACTTTAAGTTCACATCCTCATTAATATTAGTATCTAATAGGGATGGAACGGTTTATGAAAGGCCAAAGCTCACTGCTTTTTCATTGTTGGCGTGTCAGACTGCGTAAAATCATTGCAAATCTGTTATTTCATAGATTGTGGATATGGCCGTCAGAAGTACCTGGTTCGGCTTATGACGTATTTACATGGAGTGACGATATCAAGCGTCCCGTCAACGCCTAAGTTATTATATCAAACCGGCAGGACAGCAGCTACATTGGATGAAGTCCTTCAGAAGGTATGCAAGAAAACCTCAGCACTTTATCCTAAACCTAAGTGTTAAATCAGATTTTTAAAAATAATTTTAATTTTTAAAGGTATACTATGCAACCGGTGTTGATTTTCCAGCGAGGCTCCCCCCAGAGGGCGAAAGTAAAAGTGCACTGTCGTAAATATGCTCAGCTGTTCTCCTGGTTCTCCTGGTAGAGAGCCCTTTTCCTCTTTCTTGCCTGCTCCGACATGGGCTTTCGCTGTTTTCTTGCTGGTTCCGCCATGATAACTGCACAAATATCGCCACTGCACTAGCAACGAGCATGCCTTTCACTGGGGGCGTGTAGCAGTTCTCGCCGTAAAGCAACACCGACTCTTGTGATGCACGAGACTTCTGAGCCTGTGGGTGCGGGCCGAGGGCTCCTGCAATTGCAAGTACGGTATTTCCCCTACAGACCACCAGGGCGGCCGAGAAAACCTTTTTCGACCTGAAATGACTCATTTAATCATCCAAAACGTTATGGAACACATTAATTAACTGAAAAATGTTGCATAGTATGCCTTTAAATGTTTCTTGCAAGTAAAAAAAAAAAAAAAACACCAGTTGAGGACCAGGCATTCTATTTTTTCATCCTTTTCGTATGCGTTAGCTGCTTACTTACCTGGCTTCTCTCATTTTAGATGGAGCACCCTCATCTCAGCATCCTGGAGAGGGAGAATTTCATCTGGAGCTTGTCAAACGTTTCCCTCTTGAAGGGATACTTGAATGTATTAGATGGAGATCCACTTCAGGAGGCTGTGAAATCTGTCATTACTCAGTATGAAGACTATGTGATCCCAAAGCGCCCCAATTTTCGGAAATGTGAGTCACATTCGTTTGGATATTTTGAAATAGATTTTTAGATGAAACAAATATGAGTTCAGGGTTTTTGTAGCTGCTTCTATAAAAGTTTTTTTTATTTTTGTTTAAGGTATTAATCATGGCGACTTTAATGACCTGAATGTGCTTGTGCAACCCGATGACAACCATGGCTACAAGATTTCTGGCATCCTAGACTTTGGTGACATGAATAGTGGCTACTACGTCTTCGAACTAGCCATCACCATAATGTACATGATGATTGAGCATCCGGATCCCATCCAGGTCGGTGGGCCTGTCCTCGCCGGCTGGGAAAGTGTCTTCCCCCTCAACCAGGATGAGAAAGACTGCCTCTATCTTCTGGTACTCTCCCGATTCTGCCAGTCGCTGGTCATGGCTCGATATTCTGTGACTTTGCATCCAGAAAATGAAGAGTATCTCATGATTACTTCCAGAAAGGGAGTTAAGATCCTCCAACGATTCTGGGAGCTAGGAAAGAAGCATGTGGAGAAGGTGTGGTTTCAGCATGCTGCGGAGTTCAATAAGACAATGAATAAAGACGTTAATTAATTGAAACCTGATGTTTAAAAAATTAAACAATATTAAAGAAACTCAAATCATCAATAAAATTGATGTCATGCTTTGGTCATAATAATTATTAATCAGAATACCAATAAAAGGAGGAACAAATCAGTTGTGTAAATTGTATAATTCAGATGCCACATTTCTCTCTTTCATCTGTATCTGCTGGTCCTTAAAGCTCAGACTCCAGCTGCAGTCCTCTTTCTGTAAAGCCGTTTCCTAACTTAGATGTCTTTGCTTCCCAATCGTCTGCACCTTAAGACTGCATCACCCCAGTGAGTTTAAAGGAGTCATGTCATTTGAATTTACCAGATTTTAAAGCAGTGCTACATATAAACATTTCACTGCAGTAATAAAAGTAAAAGAAACTGTCCAGTTTTAGTGTTTAATGCATCTGAAAGGAATGCCCTGTTTAATTTCTTTTAAATGTTTTTGCCTTTAACATAAAGCCTCCATATTGCTCTGGATTTGAAATGTTAAAGAGCAGACATTTAAATTGTGAAAGAGAAAAGCTAATCAAATGCATGTGTTTATGTGAAGAATTTATTTTCCTTTTGTATTTCTTAATATGAAGTAGCAAATGCTGTAATCACTGCTACAGAATCGGTCTCAGGATTAAAAATCCCTTCAATGTTTTATACGCAAAACAAACCACTTTTTTTCTTTTTAGTTATGTTTGTTCTTGCAAGAAATTTAGAAGTTAAATTTAAGGCTTCAAAAGCTCTTAAAAAAGTAGCTAAAACTTATTTTTTTATCTTCACATTTTTCTCGTGTATGTATAAGATGCTTTCTGTTTTTTTCACTGTACTGTATTTTGACCTACTTTTAATCTAAAGCAGCTAGATATGAAAGATAAGGTGCTTAAATAGGAGATAAAGGTTGACTTTTTATCTAAGATCATCTATTCATTAGGTAAAACTTTAAGGTAGAGTTTAACTTAACTCATTTAACTTTTCCTTTGGTCCGTCCTTCTGTTTGCTGATTCAGCAAAGCACACCATTATCTGGAAATAAAACATTATGTATCTCTTAGTGGTTTGAGCTCTGTATTTTTATGGCTTTTGCACAACATACGCAAAATCATGTAGTTTACAAGCACATAGTTACTGATGTGTAAGAGAGTGCAGATTGATAGTTTTAAAAATCACAGCCTTTTGTGTAAACAGATTGGATAAAATGGTATAATACTGCCCTCATGTGGTGGTGTTACAATCCTACTGTTACAAGTTTAAAAGTTTTGATCATTCAATTGTTTATGCCTTAATTCCTTGTATTTTTTTCATATTATAGCTTGCAAATAATAATATGAATAGAATTTAATTAGTTAATTTCTATATTCATAATATTTATATGAAATGAGCCTAAACATGTGAAGGATGCAAAGCTAAATAACTGCGTCCCAAAAGTAGAAATTATGCTTTTTTACCAAATGGAATTTTTGGAGCTTTCTATATATACGTAAAATGAATTAATTAGTGGAATATATGGGGCATCTTTTAAATTAATTGATTTCCTCATCTACATTGTTCACATTTACACCTCCATAGCCATCCTTTTATAGAAAGTCAACATCAGAATTCCCCACAGAATTTATTGTTGGAACAAAGACTGACCTTTTGTGCTAAAATGCAGCATAACTAACATTTCAGGACATAAATTAATATTGAATGTGTAAAATGAGAAATTATCCTAGTCTGGATTTTACATCATATTAATTAGTAAGGTCCAGAGGGATTTTTTTTAAATGCATTTTTTCAGTATTTCTTCATTGTCAATAGTTATAGTTCCTCTTTATTTGCTCATTTGTCTTCAGCTTTTTTTATTGACCCCCTCAGGATAAACTAACACTTGGGTCTGGGGGACACCGACGGTCATGGAAGATTTCTGACATTTTTGCTATACTGTATGCTGCATCCATGTTTTAACAGCCACACATTTCCTTGTAAGGGGATTGAAAACCCACACTTTTCCTACAGCACAGTATCTTTCCTCCTTGTTGCGCTCGCTATAAGTGTAAGGCATTTTATCCAATCCGTTAAATGCAAGGGTAGGTAGGAGGGAAATGCACCCGACACTCTGCTCCTGTGTAAATCATTCCTTGTTAAAAAAATAAAGTCTGATATAAAATAAAACTCTATTGTTCTGCTTGGGCAACAAAATGGGTTCCATCTTCATTAGGCAATTTACTCCTAATATAGAAAGGTAATAGCATGTGATTACACATAGAGATCCTACAGAAGAACTGAATCAATAAGGTACACCGCTGTATTTCATTTTTAACCCTTTTCTTTTTAACTTTCTTTTTAACTCACTTCTGGACCTCTGCTTTTGTAGTACTTTCATGTTTAAAATAAAAGAGGTGTTAAAAAGAATAACTAGTAGCTCCTCACAGTAAAATTTTGAAATCCAGAAAATAAGATTTTATTTAACTTTACCTTTTTTTTGGCAAGGATCAATGGTGGTGAGCTTTAAAAGTTAATGTCCAAGAATGCAACTAATAGCTTTTTAAAGTAAACACAGGATAGTAGGCAGATTCTGATGACTACACAGTGCCATTTGATGCTCTTGTTCTTACTGCAGTGTCTTATCTTTAATGTATTTTGCTGTATGTATTTTTACTCACTGCAACCATCTGTGTTCTAACCTCCTATAAACGGCAATATCCAGATGGCAGAGAGACAGCTGAGATCTACAGAACACACTTTTTAACTCAGATTTAGGTTCTGCAAGTTTAAGTGCACCCTATGTTTTACCTTTACTTGGGTAATATTTTATTATAATGTTACTACTCGTACTAATCGTGACTTTAGAAACTACAAAAGTCCCCCGAAATATTTATGTAAAAGAACACAAATATATACAAAATGTGCTGTGCATAAAAATATATTCACTTATGTTAATTCAATGGAAAGCAACAAACACAAACATCTTCAAAGTACCGATATGTACAATTATTACATAATCTAAACTAACAGACACTGCTGTGGAGAATAAATCATTTCAATTAAGAAAATAAAAATAGGATGAACATGGGGACATTTTTTATGTCTGGACAGTGATGCTCTTTTATATTCTTTTGTCTACAACAGTTAAAGGATCCAAAGTTTGTCTGGTTTCTTTCTGCAGGTCCTCCGGACCTGTGATTATCTTTGGTTGGTCAGCTGATGGGATGAGGTGTACAGGAGGCAGACAGTGAATCTGTCTTCTGAGCTTTTCGGGAAAACATAGCAGTTCCACAAAGTACCAAAGCATGTCATTTAATCCTGCATTGAAATAAAGTAATGGTGGTAAAAGGACATTGCATTTTTGCACACTTATGTGAAAAATTTGACAGCCCTTCTCCAGTGTTTTTTTTTTTATGTTCACATTATAAATTACTTTTCCTCTCATCCCTCTGTCTCTTCACTTCTTCCCGTACTCGTCTTATGATGCCTTGTTCAATCAGGTCTGAGATAACGTAGACCACTGAAATGAGAGGTGGGCTAATGGGAGCAATTGGAGAGAGGTCCATCTCTTTCTTGAGCAAATATATAAATATACATTTTATATTTCTTAAATTGAATAATAAGCTTTATGGATCCTTATTTTAAATAATTTCTTATTAGCCTACTGAGGATTTTTTATTTGCCTGATTTTCTGGCAATGTGTGATGCAGGTGGGTGCTGTGTGCTCCAGGTGCTCAAAGGTTCTCATGGCCTTGAATAGTGTTAACCATTTGGTAGTGTTTGGCCTGCTACCATGGTTACGACAACTTCCTGTTCAAGCAATGCAAGTAAAGGCCGTCTCAAAAGCAGAAGTTGTAGATATACCTTACAGCACCATCAAGGGGACTCAGTTCAGCAGTGAGGATTAACAGTGAGTAGAAGTGGTTTGAAGTGATTAGAGGAAGGGGGTAGCCACCAATTGGGAAAGGCCCTTCGACAGGAGCAGAATGTCAGGTGCATTTTCCTTCTATCTTTCCCCAAAGATCATGGATGTTCTTGTTGTGTCTACCTTTGCAGTGAACTAATTGGTTAAAATGGCCAAAATAACTCAAACTATATTTTACTTGAAGTATGAAATTGATTCTTATAGTATTTAATGTACGTAATATATAGTATAGCTGTAGTTACCTACTGTAACAGTACAGTATTTACTGTCCTTAGAGCTCATAAATTTTAACATTAACTGTAAGTCTCTCTAATAATTTTTTGTTTAAGTGAAGTTACTAATAATATGTAGAGTATTAGAGAAAAAAAATACTTGAGTATTACTTTATCATAGACTTTATCATATTTTTATTTAAGTAAAAGTCAAAAGTACAATTCAGCTAAACAACATAAAAGTATATATTTTTCTTATTAAAAAAGTTATTCTCATAAATGTAAGTACTACCAACCTGCTAGGATAGACTACAGCAAGCGGCATAGTTTTAGAAAGTACATGTGGTTATTAAAATGGTTCAAGGTAATGTCTCTTAGATTTTGTCTAGTGTTACATTTTCTATGTATTTTTTGAGAGTATATATATATTTATTCATATATATAATTTTAGAACTATTGTTTTGAATCAATAATTTATTTTAATATATTATAATTCAGTTACATTTTATATATAATTTCTGTTTTTTATTTAAATTACTATTGTGAATTTCTAATTTTATTTAACGGGAGGGTGTGTAAACTTTCAAGCACAACTGTATACAGGTGCTGGTCATAAAATTAGAATATCATGAAAAAGTAGATTGATTTCAGTAATTCCATTTAAAAAGTGAAACTTGTATATTATATTCATACATTACATACAAACTCATATATTTCAGATGTTTATTTTGTTCAATTTTTATGATTACAAATGACAACAAATGAAAATCTCAAATTCATCATATCAGAAAATTAGAATATTACTGAAGACCAATAAAAACAAAGGATTTATAGAAATGTTGGCCAACTGAAAAGTATGAACATGAAAAGTATGAGCATGTACAGCACTCAGTATTTAGTTGGGCCTCCTTTGGCCTGTATTACTGCAGCAATGCGGCGTGGCATGGAGTCGATCAGTCTGTGGCACTGCTCAGGTGTTATGATAGCCCAGGTTGCTCTAATAGTGGCTTTTAGCTCTTCTGAATTGTTGGGTCTGGTGTATTGCATCTTCTTCTTCACAATACCCCATAGATTTTCTATGGGGTTAAGGTCAGGAGAGTTTGCTGGCCAATTAAGAACAGGGATACCATGGTCCTTCAACCAGGTACTGGTAGCTTTGGCACTGTGTGCAGGTGCCAAGTCCTGTTGGAAAATGAAATCTGCATCTCCAAAAAGTTGGTCAGCTGCAGGAAGCATGAAGTGCTCTAAAACTTCCTGGTATGTGGCTGCGTTGACCCTGGACCTCAGAAAACACAATGGACCAACACCAGCAGATGACATGGCACCCCAAACCATCACTGACTGTGGAAACTTTACACTGGACTTCAAGCAACGTGGATGAAGTGCCTCTCTTCTTTTCCTCCAGACTCTGGGACCTTGATTTCCAAAGGAAATGCAAAATGTACTTTCATCAGAGAACATGACTTTGGACCACTCACCAGCAGTCCAGTCCTGTTTCTCTTTAGCCCAGGCAAGACGCTTCTGACGCTGTCTGTGGTTCAAGAGTGGCTTGACACAAGGAATGCGACAGCAGAAACCCATGTCTTTCATACGTCTGTGTGTGGTGGTTCTTGAAGCACTCACTCCAGCTGCAGTCCACTCTTTGTGAATCTCCCCCACATTTTTGAATGGGTTTTGTTTCACAATCCTCTCCAGGGTGCGGTTATCTCTCTTGCTTGTACACTTTTTTCGACCACATCTTTTCCTTCCCTTCGCCTCTCTATTAATGTGCTTGGACACTGAGCTCTGTGAACAGCCAGCCTCTTTAGCGATGACCTTTTGTGTCTTGCCCTCCTTGTGCAAGGTGTCGATGGTCGTCTTTTGGACAACTGTCAAGTCAGC